TTAGATAAGAGCACTAACAAGCATTATTTTAGGGACTAACGTGCATTCTTTAGGATAAGATGTATCAAAACATGTAAAGGACCATACTGCGCAGAATCCCCTGAGGAGGGTCAAGTAGCGGACAAGTGAGGAGGACCATGGAAGACCACCAGAGGACTCCTGAAGACCACCAGAGACCTTCAATGTGCCTGCATAAAGGCCATTTGCATATGCTAATAGTTTCCCAGAAAACTAATGAATATGTATAACATTTCTCAGAAATCCAGTGAATATGTATGTAGAACATGTACTTAACCTGCACAATTAGGCCTGATGGTGTGCACGATAGGTGGAGCGATCCCCATGTACCCAGTGCTGCCAATAAAGAATACCTACTTAATAGTTAATCAGACTATTGAGTTAGTTTCTTTGGATCAGCTCAAGCCCACCATCCACACCACACAGCCCTCCATCTGCCAAAGACAATGTCCAAGTGACAGTGCCCTCAAACATGCTGCTTAAACAGGGTAGCACCTCCAAACCAGACTTTGCTGTGCACTGCCACGTGGCAACACAGACTTAATGACCTCAGCTCCACTACACCTTTGCTACATGCTCTTACAACCTGTTGTACATGTTTTTTTTCCTGTTGTGCAAGTGTCTGCTCAGTCTGGATTATTCCGCTTCCTCCAGGTAATCCAAGGCTGACTGCAATAACTGAGTTTCTTCACGTTCCCAGGGAGCCAATTTCTTCGGTACGATCTACATTACTCAAATCCTTCTCTCAGGCCTCCACCATACTTTGGCTGCCACAGTGAAACAACTCAAGGTTGTCCCTAGCCACTATTATTTTTCACTTGGCATCTCCATTCTCTCTCAAAGCAAGTGTTAATACCAGCCCAGGGAAGTAGCTCCATCTGTGCTGGCATTGCAACAACTAGCAATTTGCACAGAAGTTCCAGTAAAGACAAAGTCCCCAGAGCTTCATTAGCCGCTAACTGAAATGCTTCCAGCTGTGATCAAGATGGATCTAGCCATGCACATATTCATGCCAGAGCATTTCAGTGGAACTATCCACTGATGGATGCTGCAAGAATTAAGCAGCACAGATGAATCATTTTTTAAGTCACTAGTGAACCATTGCCCCAGTTTTATTCCACAGGTGACAAGCTTTCAGTGGCACATGATTTTTAGAGCCATAAAAAGTAAACACCTTGGGGTTACTAAGAGTCCCATGACACACTTGAAACTAGTTAGATGTTTCCATTTGAGCCAAACATTAACCAGGGTAACAATCTACCTAAGTTTTCCTCATGTGGGAAATGTGTTGAATTTGTGTTTTCTTAAAAAACTGCATGAAAGTATTGAGTATACAGTAACATTCAGAATATGCCTTATTCTGTTTGGCAGAGGAACCCTGTTCCTCAATCAAATAAAGCTCAGGAAATCCACAGCAGTGATCTACAGGATCTAGGTGGATATTTTAATCTCTCCAGAGTAGAGGTACAAGGCAAGCACCCCAACAATTCAGTAAAACTATGTATTTAATTGCTTCAAGCTCCTTATAAGTCTGTTGTTAGGTAAAGCAGAGGCAGGATACCTAAAAAGACTTTCTATACAAGCTGTAGATATTAAGTCAGTGTCCACCAGTACCTGAGTTGCATTGGCTCTAGACTAAGCTTTCTCCTCAGCACTGCTGAAACCTGTTATGTGCTCAGGAATGTCTGAGAGCACATCTCCTTTGCATGACTGCAGCATGCACATTTGTATATATACATATACACAGAACACAACAAACTCAGCACCAGGAGTGAAAACAGCATGGATTCACACAACTCATTGAAGATCAGTTATCCAAGCCCTGAGCCTTATGGCTCAGGGGGGTTCAAAGGGCTTGTGCTGAAGAAGCTTCATTGCAGCTGATGTCTGAACATTGTAAACAAAAGCACATCCAGGCATGACTCCCGAGTCACACCCTGTAGGTTTTCTGTCTCAACAGCTCCCTGTTCAAATTCACACCAGCACTGAGTCACAAAAGCCTGCAGGAACCTTCAGCCCATTTAAATCAATATGCCTGGTTCATATCCTATCAGCAGGAAAAAACATTTCCACCCTCAACACACCTCACCACACAAGAGCAAGCAGAGGTGGTTCTGCAGCAGGACAGCTCACCCAGGGCACTGGCACTGCCTTACAGGGACAGAGGGCAAACTCATCAGACAAGCCCTGCTTTGCTCACATGAGCTAGGCTATACAAGAGAGTAAGTCTGGTTTTTTTTTCCAAACATTTCCTTTAAGAGTGCACTATGAAGTCACACTGGCTCTCTGATTCACACCTTATCAACATGAGCAGTGCCTCCACCCTCAGCCCTGTCTGGGCCACTCAGTTTTCAAATTCAGCCCCAGCAAACACCACAGTCAGAGATACAAGCAAGTCACTGTCCTCCCACAAAGCACAACCACACTTTCTACAAGTGCTGGTGACTAAATGCCACATCAGATGAGCTCTGTCCTAACAGCAGCCCCAGGGGCTGTTCCCTACTGCTCTGGAGACAGAGACACTACTACTGAGCAAGACCAAGCTCATAAGCCCGTTACCCCATTGCCTCCACAGTTTTTTTTTTTGAAGTTTCCCTCCAGCACACTGCAGGACCAGAACTAGCAGCTCACCAAAATGCATACCCAGCCCTTCCTGCACCCCAGTAACCTGGGGTGCCCACCAGCCAGACACCTCTGCAGCCAGAGCTAGTACCTGTGTAAGGTCTGCAGGGAGAGCATTCCTTCCAAGGTCATCTCCCCCGCTTGCCAGTTCTGCTCAGCCTCATTCACTTGCAGAGATCTGGTACAGCTACTAGCAGCAAGGCAAAAAATTCAAACTGCTGCCAAGACTGTCCTGAAGAGCTCAGCAAAATCTTGCACCACTACCTACATAACAGCTCAGTTACATCTGATTGTGCTTCTGGCTTAAATACCGTAAAATCAGGTGCACTGAATTCAGGCAACCCCACCCAATTGAGAGAGAGGCCATTTAAAGCCTCACCGGGCCAAGGTAGTCTCTTAGATTCTCTCTGTAGGGGTGGTGTTCCTTTAGTTCCTAGTAGTTATGTATTGACTGTACTTCTGCTCAGTGCCAGCAGGCAAAAAGACAAAAGCAGAACATGACCTTTATGGGAATGTAAAGCTGATCATTGATTCCAGATGCTGACCCTGAGTGTGGGGGGGTTCCTAAACCAGGGCTATTCGCAGCTGTGTGAGCTACAGCTGATGCCAAGGGGGAAAAAATCCAAGCTAAAGGGGAACAAGAAGCCCTTACATTACAGAAGTCAGCCTTTAATGGTTTTCTTTTACTCCGGCAGGACAATTTTTGCTGTAAAAGAGAGTCCAGAAACCAAATTACAAGCTTCTAGCTATGCTGCAGTAATAATGTTGCTTTCTTACAACATGCACTCCTTTGACAGAACAGCTCTCTTTGCAGACAAAGGAAACTTGGGCTTGTATTTCACAGTATCCTGCTGGATGTGAAGCTGTGGTGAGAGCCGGGAATAGTTTGGGGCTGAGTGCTGCTTTTCAAACTCAGGGCTAGTATAAAATATCTTTTTGTTTTTCACTAGCTCTTTACAGTCTCGTATTTGTTCTTGCGAAGGAAAATCTGTCAGTTCATGGGAACTGAAATGGAAGCCGTTGGTTTTTGTGACAGAGCTGCTAACCTGCCACTTCTCCTTTGCTTATACAATAGTCCGTGCAGCCTTTCACCTTTATTGTGGTTTCCACACATGAGATTCAGAGAGGGGCTTTCAAAACCGCCCAGCCCTGAGCAGCATCGGAAGGGTCAGGCAGGTCCCAGCTGTGCCTGAGCACCCCGGTGAGCGGTGGAACCCCCTTTTTCCTGGCCAGGGGCCAAGAGGAAGTTCTGGGTTCCCAATTCTGCCTCTTTCTCAAGTGTTTGCAGGCCAATGTCCCCACGAGCGTTGCGGGCTCCCCTGGAGAGGGCAGCCGAGCATCGCTGAACGCGGGCGCGTGGCTGAGCTCCAGCAGCTGCTGGGAAACTCCTGAGCCACAAATAATGGCAGAGGGGAAATATGTGAAGCAAAGATTTGGAGAGCAGGAGATGTAACTGCTATTCAAAACCATCACGAATGGGGGCAACTGGGATCCAAGCAGGAGGGAAGGTTGAGTTCCTGCTTGGGAGAAGACGGGTTCATGGTGCTGGGATGGAGCTGTGGGAGGAGGATGTGGCTGCTCTGTAGGATGTCAGAGCGGGACCTGCGGCAGGGCAAGGGTGCGTCAGGGGGCTAAGGAACACGGCCCTTCCTTTGCAGCCTGTGCTCCTCACTATAGGTTGTATGGTCTTTACCCAACCGCAACGTGGCCAATTCCTTTGGGATTTTGGCCAAACTTGCCTCTACCCACTGACATGGAGCCTCAAGTAACAGGCGATGTTCTCCCCAGTGCTCTGGTGTCACCTGGCAGCTGTCCCTGCTTTCCAGCAGCAGCGGCATAACCTGCAAATAGTCCATTTTCAGGGGCACAGAGGTGAGGTTCTTGCTGTTAATAGGACCGGCAAGCATGTAGACAGCAGATTTCTGAGCTTGCCCTTAGACCTGCACGCAGCCAGGAATATCCAGATATTACCATGTCTGCCTCCTAGCTCTTTTCCTTCCCCTCCTCTCCCACTTCCCCAGAGAAATCTGGAAAAGACCCCGAATGTCTCTTGCCTCAAACACTGCAGGTACGTGGAGGAATTGGAGGGAGTGAGCAAATTATTTCAGTGAGTCGGAGGGCTAGGGTGGTTGTGAGATGTGGCACTAGCTAACAGTCAGAAGCAGAACACAAGACCCAGAGGGGAAGTGGGGAAGGAAAGAAAACCTGACACACGTTCACCAGAAGAATGTGAAAGAGAGCAAGAAACCCAAGGAAGGATTTGCACTGATGGATTTCCAGCCCAGGGGAATAAAACAGAATGGTACAAGACACCCAGATGAAACCAGAAGTGATGTGAAAGTAGGGGGAAGCAGGAGCCATCTGCAGCTGCACAAACTGCCCTGAGAGCTGGAGGGATGGGAAGCCCCCAAGCATCCCCAGCCTGTGATGTGAGCAGAAGGAGGTGAGTGGTTTGCGTTTGTTAACCCGTGGGGAGACCCTGCAGCCAAGGATCCTTTTTCTCACAGTAAAACACATCGTATCTTTGAGCCCACGGTGCTGACACGCACACAGGCAGTCTGGGGAGACTCCGCCATGCAGGATTTGTTGCAGGGAGATTCCCGGTGTTATTCAGGATAAACTGCAATGCAATGTGTAACAAAGGGTGGGAAAATTGGTTTTTAGGATGAATGCTTTCTTAACAAGAACACGAAAGGTAAGGTTTTAAATAGCAGACTGGGGACTAACTCTTTACAGCTGGTTTTAAGAAATATTAATGTTGGATACGTCAGAGGTATTTTCAAATATCTCGCAAGCATGAGTATGATACTGAGCTCTCAGGCTGAGCCTTCTGCATGAGTTAGTGTTTATTACGACTCCGTGCGTGGTGGTTTTGGTGGAGTGAGAGAAGTTCTGTCTTGCCATGCTTTGTACCCAAACTGGCGTTTGCAGTGCTGCTCTGCACCCACACACCCCTGTGCTTCGAATGCTGTCACCCCAAGCAGTCACACAGGGACAGAACTGGACTCTGAATAGAAATAAAGCGTATAGTCTTCAGTGTGGCATTTGTGCCAGACAGTTCTTACATCAGGGAGGTAACTCTGCTCAGCGTTATTCAATATGGTCAGAGGGACAAACCGGGATGAACAGCTATTTCCAAAATATTGGCAAAACTTCTCCTGCAACTAAAACCAGAAATCATGTACAAACCAAAATATTTGTAAAGCAAAAAGATATTTTACTTTTTCAGCAAGTGAAATGTCCAAGCATTAATGACAATTTTTACATAAATCACTTCACTCGTTCATGTTAGGTGATCACTTAAGACATTTTATTTTATTGTAAAGATCAAATCTCTCAGAAATTCTAGTGATTAAATATTCAAGACCGGTGCTTTCAGAGTGCTGCAGGCCCATTGCACTGGCTGATTGCAGCAGGAAAATTTAATTTTACATTATCTAAGCAACCTGTATGTTAACTTATTAATCACAAGGATTCTGAGATATCTCTGTAAATGAAGAAACCATCCCCAGTGATATTAGAAACGGTGCTGCTGCATGCAAGGCAGTGTAAATCTGACAGCTGAAATGAATTGCAGCAATGCACTGAAATGGAAAAGGACTTTTTTTACTTGTAGATTTAATTTCCACCGAAGCCAGTGGAATTATTAGGCTGGAGTGAGTGGGCTCACAAGCAGATCTAATGGGGGGAAGGTTTCTCTGCGGCTTCCGGGCAGACTTTGCAGTCAGTAAGGCTGTATCAGAAATATATTGCATTCCCAAATCTCTTATCTGCATTTTGTTCCTAATAGCTGGGCTGCTTGTTCATTCAGTACATTGCCTCCATTTGCTGCCTCCTGGGGCTATTGTTATTGGCACTGTCTGGGGGGGTTCTCCATTGCAAGAGACGGGGTTTCCATCGCTTTATTTTGGCAGAATATTCCCCACCCTGGGAGATCCTGCTGGCAGGAGACACTTTGCCATGCTGGTAGGAGAGTTAATCCTGTGCAAAGGTCCAGGAAATCCCCGCTCGGCTCCTGCGGCTCCCAGAGACCCCATCTCTCTGTGCTGCAGCCCCTTGGCTCTATAGGAGGGTAAGAAGCCCCTTCGCTCTTCCTTGCTGAGCTGAAACATCAGGCAGGGACTCTCTGGGCTAGTTGGGCTGGTTGTGGTGGGGATGCACAGTGGTGTCTGGGGCTGTAATTCCCAGGGAGGTGGAGCTGCTGCCCCTCGGAAGGGGATTTCCATCCTGGAAGTGGGATTTGCCCCATGGAGGATACTGCAGATCAGCTCTCCCCTGGGATCCAGATATGGGCTGGCTGTTTCCCAGGAGCTGAAGCATGCAGGATGCAGTGGGCATGAACAAACAAATGGTTGAATCCATGAGCCCATCTGACAAGAGAAAAATGTCCCCTGGGCAGGAAAAAGCAGCCTTATGGCCAAAAAAAAAAAAAAAAAGGAACAGGCAGTGCAAGGAGAGGGGCTCTTGGCAATGCCTGTGTTTGCATGCTCTGGAGCCTCTGCAAAAGAGATCTTGTGCTGGAGCAAAGCTCCGTGCTTTCCCTCACAGACACGGGAGCTGGAAGGAGGATTTGGGGGAGTTCAGTCAAAATTGCAAAGAGATTCATCCTTGTCATTCAGCCTGAGACACAACAGATGTGGGAAGAGAAGGTCTGGGCTGGCTGGCTCATTGCTACAAGCCCAGCACAGTATTTTGAACCTGAGGGCTTATCTGAATTATGTCAGTGTAATGGAGAGAGCTGTACCAGAACAGTCAGTGCAGGAGTTATTTTGCCATTATAACCAAATTCTCTCTCTCCCCAAGCAATGTGACATGAGGGATAGTGTTTTGCTGGCCATCAGTCTCTTGCCAAGTGTTCAGTGCAGTTTCCAAGCTCCTGAGTACGTTTGTTGGACATTGCACAACTGCAGATACAGAGAATTTAAGATGGTCCTGGGAATGCTGGCTGCAATTAATAGATGTCAAGGTGATGCTGGAGTCTGCTTAATTAAGAGATGTTTTGGTTTGGATGCTGGAGTTTTGGTTGGGGAGTTTTGGATACTTGAGGAGGCAGTTGCTGGCCCCTGGTGAGCCCCGAGATATGTCAAAGTCCATCTGTCTGCTAAATCTGCCTCTCTCTGGAGGGAGAGATGTTGTCAGCTTTAATAACAACAGTTAGTAGTTACTGCTACCCTTGTAGTGTTTCTGTGAAGAGCTGCAGGAAACAAGAGTGCTGAGATTACAGTGCAACATCTCCGGTCCTGCACGATTACCCCATGCCAGAGCCTGATGTAAGAGGAGAGAGGCTTGCTGCAATGCTGAGCCACATTTCAGCCCAAAGTCCAGGACTCCTCCAGTCTGATATGTCAAGAATTGCAAATCAGGGTTGAACTGCTCTGGCTGTAATATGCACCGAACGCCCTGCAACCCCCAGAGTTCGAGCCCCAACAGGCAGGCAGGAGCAAAGTGCTGGGGCTCAGACTCTTCTCCACGAGCTCCTGGGCAGCATCTCAAGTGCTTGGGGGCATTTTGCAACTACTGCAAAACACAGAAACAGTGATGCGTGCCAGGGCATGGGGAATCCCCGGGGAAGGAAGTAATGAAGACAGGTATAAAATACGTGTCACTGCTAAGATGTTGCGGACAGAAGTTTCTAGCGTGTTGGTCACTGCTGGTTATCGTCTCATCTAAAGACAGCTGTTGCCTTTACTGAATTTCAAAAAACAGACAGGGAAACCACAGATGGTTGGCTACAGGTGCCTGGAGCCCAGCAGCACAGAAGCCTGGCCCCTGCACCACCTGGGCGCTTGCTCCGCTCCCTGGGTAGCTGTAGCTATCACACATCCCATCTGCTGTGGCTCACATGTTTTGGACATTTCCTCTTTTGAAAGAGAGCTGAGGGCAGGGAGAGACGGTAGTTTGTTTGTTCTGGGGGAAAGGGAACGCTGTCAGCTCAGTGCTTTCCTCCAGCAGTGGAAACTCATGGTCCCATTGCCTGGATGTGGGATCCTGGATACTCAAAGCCAGGCAGATGCTTTCGGGAAAGGGATTCCTGTCCCATGGGCTTTTGTAGCAGGGCGGTGCAACCTGCTGGTGTGTAGCACTTGGAACACAGCATCTCTCTGCTAATAAGGCACCTTCAGTTTATCCGAAAACCGCCTCTTCATCTGCTCTCTATAACCCCATCCAGGGTGACCTTGTTTCCCCTGTTACATGAGGCAACACAAGGCAGCTGAGCCCTCAGTGAAAGTGCATTTAGTTAAAGCACAAGTATAATCAAGAGCAAGAATGGAAGAAAAATAACATCTGAAGGACAAGGTCATCTGTGTAATGAAGATGAAGGGATTTAAATGCATTAAGCTGCAGAAGTGTAGAGAAAAACATGACTTTGCTGTCACAGAGTGCACTGAGCAGCTCAACATCTGCCTAGGGGAAAATAAGGCATTCCCTCCATCACATCTCTGCTGAAGCTAAAAATATTGCTAAAATTAACCTAAGCCTGGGCATGGACAGGAATTCTTAGGTTCAGGTGGTCTAACTCTTGCATGTCCCCATTTTTATGTCCAACTTGCACTCTAATATTGATGTTAAACAGTCACTTTTAATCACTCTGACCATGGGACAGACAGACTCATGACACAGGGATTATGGGGGGAGAAACACAACTTTAATGAGGCTGAGCTTTATAAAACTGCAACGGCCGAGCTTAAAATATAAAACCAGTCTTGTCATTTTGTGTGTTCAGACAGCTTTGGTGAAGACTAAATGCTTCAAAGTGCACTTTGTGTTCCCAGATGAGCCACACTGAGTCCTCGGCAGTGCAATATCCCTCATCCTTCTCCATCCCAGCCATCTCCCAGGGCAGCTTCACCCGGACAGGCTGTTCGCCAGGGCCTGTCTCCAGCCACGGCACAGTGTCACCGTGAGCAGTCCCTTCCACTGCTGCTGGCCCTGAGCAGTGAATCCCGGAGGACTGGTAAGAGCTGGCCCAGGATCTGTACAATTCTCAGCATTGCTGCTTCCCTCTTGTGGTGAGGAAACAGCCCGAGAGATGGATGTGGTACGGAGGTGTTACGGGCGTGGTACATGTGGGCAGTGGTAGACAGGTCTCAGCCAAATCACCAGTGGGATAAAGCCTGGATCTCTGCTGGGAAAGTGTGGAAGTCAGCTCCAGCATTTGGGCTGTGGACCTGAAAGTAGGTCTCCCTGGGCTCTTTTTCTTTTGTGTGCTTCCCTCTAAAGGGAGGGATGTGTTCCAGTGGGTTGAATTTATTGCTCATTGTGCTCCTGTAAGTCCCCTTCCCCTTGGTCTTTTTCAGAGCATCTGAAGAACTGCAGAAGGAAGCAAAAACGCTGTCTGCAAGCGCCTGGCTCCGGTTAATTACAATGGATAGTTGTAAGATACATGAAAATGCCTCCAAATGCAGTGTGAACACCATGGAGTGCTTCATGGTCCTCAGCACGCAAGCGCAGAAGATAAGCATTGCCACACTGTGTGGCCTCTTTGGGACACTGTGCATTTTTGAGAACTCTTTGGTGCTGTACTTGATCTTCTCCTCCCCCAGGACAAGAAGAAAGCCTTCCTACCTCTTTATCAGCAGCCTGGCCTTGGCTGACATTCTGGCCAGCATCATCTTTGTCTGCAGTTTTGTTAACTTCCATGTCTTTAATGAAACCAATTTCTCTAAAGAAATGTTCCTGCTGCAGCTGGGAGGGGTGAACACGTCCTTCTCCGCCTCCCTGAGCAGCTTGCTGCTGACAGCCCTGGACCGTTACATCTCCATCAGCCGACCATCCAAATACAAGCTCCTCATGACGAGGAAGAGAGCATGGATAGCCCTAGGGGTGCTCTGGGTAACATGTGCGACCATTGCTTCCCTGCCCCTCTTGGGCTGGAATTGCTGCACGCTTGACTCGACGTGCTCCGAGCTGTTCCCATTTGTGGATGACAACTACCTGTCGAGCTGGATCTGCTTCATCATGGTCCTGCTGGGGTGCATCATCTACGCCTATGCGCACGTGCTATGGAGGGCTCACCAGCACGTGGCCTACATGGAGAAGCACCAAGCGCAGGCAGGAAAGCAAAACACCAGGATGAGGATGGACGTCATGCTGGCCAAGACCCTCTTCATGGTGCTGACTGTCCTTGTGCTGTGCTGGTCTCCGGTCCTCGTCCTCATGATCTACAGCATCTTTGCCATGCTGAACAATCACCTGCGCAAGGTGTTTGCCTTCTGCAGCACCCTCTGCCTGCTCAATTCCATGGTGAACCCCATTATTTATGCCCTGCGGAGCAAGGAGCTATATTCCTCCCTGAGGATGGTCTTGGCTCGGTTCAGGAGGCAGCTGAAGGCCCCTGAGGAAAGCCCAGAAGCAGAAAGCACCCGCAAGTCCTCCGTGATAGAGACTGTCTGTGAGGACATGCGCGTAACGTAGGGAGGCAGCCGTGGAAAGTCCCTGCTCGGGCTGGCAGAAACAGTCTGGATCACTTTTGTTTTTCTTTTCTATTCTTATGGAGGTCCTGGAAGATGAGGGATCAGAGGCCTGTCATGGAGCCAGCTCCTGCTGATGTTATTCTTAGACCCTGGGACATAAAGTGCCCAGACTTACACAGGCAGCTGGTCCCCAAGCTGCAGAGATACCGGTGCCATGTCAGTGTGCCAGCCATGAGGCAGCAGATAACGCCATGCCCCAGAACAGCAGAATCTAGTATTTTATGACAACTCCTCCTGCCTGGCCTCCCACCTGTCTACCAGTAACCTCCTAACCCAGTGGTATCTTCTTTACACTCCATAAAATACAGCAAACCTCAAGTGAAACACTCTGCAGACCTTCAGGTTCTTTAGAAATCCCCAGGTGTCACATAATTCTCTAAACCTCTTAACCGGGCACGGGCAGAGTTGTACAAGCACCATCAGCCAAGTGATAACAGCACATCGCTATGTAGCAGAGGTACATCTATTTATACCAGACTTGAACGCTGTTCAGGGGTGTTATGTATTAGCAGCATGGTGACAAAAGGGCTTCAGGTCCTGGCAAAGGTGGCAGAGAACAAGACCAAGTCGTGACGAGCTCCCACCAATGGTGAATGCCTCGCTGCAGAAGCAGGACTGGCAGCAGCAGGAGATACCTCGGCTTTTGCTGGGAAAGGTGGAGGTGGTTTCTCTGGACTCACTTGCGGACGGTCCTGGCTAATTGTATCTCACAGCATTTAGGATCGTGTTGATTTTAGCGTCTAACTCTTTATGGAAAACCGAAATACTCTCACTGTGGCTTATGGACTCTGTTGTTGTTGAGGATTTCGAGGCAGACAGGACCCTGCAGGCAGCACATTTCTTTCAGCAAATTTAAGGAAAGCTAACCTGTGCAACGCAGGCGTTTGTAGGGTGTTGTGTGATTAAACATTAAAGCCATTTTTCAGCCTTTTCTTTCATTAACCTCTGGGGCACAAACTCCTCCAGGCAACAAGTTTAAGCCCAAGCTGGGGCAGAGCGTGAGGCGTTTGATAGGGTGGGTTTTTTTCAAATTACACAAACACAGCAGCTTTAGCTGCAAAACATGCAAGGAGACCAAAGTGGGACAGGGCCCTTTGCCAGCGCCCCAGAGAGCAGCAGGGCTTCTGCCGGCTCCCAAAACGCCTCCGACGGGGATGAGCCTGGCTGGGCTGCCTGCGGCACGGCCACGAGGCCCTTGGACTCTGCCCTGTTTCCCCAGAGGATGCACCCGGCCTTCACGTGCGGGTTTTGGAGCCAGGGCCTGGGCCTGCTCCGGCTGCAGAGGAGGCCCGGGGGGAGAGGGGGGCTCTCATGGAGGCCAAGCCACCATGGGGTCAACGCCATGGGGTCGCTCCTGGCTCCTCAAGGGGTGGACACAGAGGCTCAAAATCGCAGGAAGAGGCAGGCAGGCGGCTACAGTGCGGCAGAACCGGGCTGGGTGGGAGGAATGAGGCCGCCAGCCCCGCTGCCAGGCGGACCGCAGCCTCGAACCGGCGGCCCCGAGCTCCCCGTTTGCCTCGGTAGACACGGCGGCGCCGTTGCCTCGGTAGACACGGCGGCGCCGTTGCCTCGGTAGCCATGGCGGCGGCCGCGCTGACGTCACGCGGCAGCATGGCGGCCGCCGGCCTGCTCTGGCTGGCGGTCGCGTTGGGGCCGGTGTTGGCCGCGTCGCGCTACCGCCCGGACTGGGCCAGCCTGGACGCGAGGCCGCTGCCTGCCTGGTTCGACCAGGCCAAGGTGGGGGTGTTTGTGCACTGGGGGGTGTTCTCCGTCCCGGCCTGGGGCTCCGAGTGGTTCTGGTGGCACTGGCAGGGCGAGCACCGCGCCGACTACGAGCGCTTCGTACAGCGCCGGTACCCCCCCGACACCACCTACACGGACTTCGCGCCCCGCTTCACCGCCCACGACTTCCAGCCCCGCGAGTGGGCACAGCTCTTCCAGCGGGCTGGCGCCAGGTCAGCCTCAGGTGCTGGCGGGGGGGGTGGGGGGGGGTCCCTGAGGGGACGGGGTCCCTGAGGGGATGGAGGCGTGGCCTGGGGGGGTCCCTGAGGGGACAGAGGGTCCCTGAGGGGATGAGTGCCATGCCCAGGGGTCCCTGAGGGTATGGGGGAAGCCATTTCTGGGGATCTGTGAGGAAATGGGGGACCCTGGTCACCGAGCAGACGGAGGAGCCATGTCTGGGGGTCCCTGAGGGGATGTAAAGGCCCCGAGAGGATGGGGGGGCTGTTCCTGGGGTCCCCAAGAGGATGCAGGCATCCCTGAGGGGATGGAAGGGCCAAGTCTGAGGATCTCTGAGGGACTGGGGGTCTCTGAGCGGTGCTGGAGATCTCTGAGGGGTCATGCCCAGGGTGCTGAGGAGATGGCAGGTGTTGCTGCTTCCTAAGCCTCGACTGTTCATTCTTTTCCAGCATTAAAATTCATTAAAAGCCTCTATTATTCTTGTAGTTCCTTCTAAATTTAAAGGGTAATGAAAGAGGGCTCCTCACAGCATGGTTATTCAGTCCCTTGCTTTTTTAGTGACTGGGTTTGCCAGTGAGGCTGGAAAGTATCTTAGGTAGTTCCTTTGTCATCCTGATCGAGTACTTTTTTTTTCCTCAGGTACGTGGTGCTGACCACAAAGCATCATGAAGGCTTCACCAACTGGGGGTCACCCATGTCCTGGAACTGGAATTCTCTGGATACAGGGCCCCACCGAGATCTTGTAGGAGAGCTGGGACAAGCCCTCAGGGAGAGGTATGGCACTGCCAAACAGCTGTTCCTTTCATCTGTGTGCATTGAATTCTCCTGGCTGTTCTTGACAAACAGCGGAAAATGATGAGTTTAGTATGACGAAAGTAGTGCTTCCAAAGTCATGAAATCTTCTTTGAAATAATAATGCCAGTAATCTAATCTGCCACTGGTTCTTAATCCCTACTGCCAGCCTAACTCTTTCCTCTGTGTTTTCTGTCCTCAGTAACATACGCTATGGACTGTATCATTCTCTGTTAGAGTGGTTTAATCCACTCTATCTAGCTGACAAAGAAAGCGGCTTCAAGACCCAGAACTTCGTTTTAAAGAAGACCATGCCAGAACTTTATGATCTTGTCTTAAAGTAAGAGCTGCAACCAGTTAGGAATCAAGAGCATTTCCTGGTTTCAATACTGTAGAGAAAGATGCAAAGTAGATGCAGAGAAGGGAGATAACAAATGTTAGTTTTTGCCAAGGCAAATCTGTTTACTTATCGGTGATGATTTGCGGTAATTAGAAAATGGGTTCACATTTGCCCTGCGGACAGTCTAATTTGTAGAATAAGGTAGGGACAAATTTTTCATGCAAGAGCAATTCCCTTTAATACTGCCTTTGTGCAGGGTGGCTTTGCAAGTGGAGCAAGCTGCTTAGTATTTAGTAGAGTAGAAGAGCGATTTCACTCTGAATTTACATCCTTGCCTTGCTTCCCCTTGTTGACAAAAATACAAGGCTTGGACACATGTTGCTCAGAATGGCCGTTATCCCAGGTCAAGAATGTGCCTCATAATTGCCTTTGTGATGCAAACTTCTGTTTTTTGGAAGAATTGCATCCTTTCTTGAGCCTTGATCAGCACATCATTCTTTGCTGCTGCAAGAACCTCACTTAAAGCTTTGAAGCAGAAAGTGATAGCATAAACCTCCCAGTAATGTCAGGCAATATGAAGAGGAAGTGAAGCTGGAGTCTTCGAGACACAAGAAACACAGTGCTTCCTTTGTGGTAGGAGTAAATAAGCCATTTTGAAATAACATTCGTCTCTCTGTTAGATATAAACCAGATTTGATTTGGTCGGATGGAGACTGGGAAGCTCCGGAATCATACTGGAATTCTACCTCTTTCCTTGCCTGGCTTTATAACGATAGTCCCGTCAAGGTATCACTTTCAGCTATCTCTCATGGCCGCTAGCATTTTATGGGTATGGAAGGTCTGGCAGCAGTGAGATATCAATGTGATCAAATCAGAAACCCGCTTGACAGATGCCAAATGTGCTTTATTCTTTCACAAAAAATAAGAAGCCTACACTGTGCTCCTATGAGAAGACTCTAGTGTCCTTTACAGCACACACGTGGGAGGCTCAGAGACCAGGAACCTTGTTGCCTAAACTTCTACCTGAGCAAACAGAGAGAGGTTCTCCCAGAGAGGGATTCAGCCTTCCCTGGAGGACACTCTCTCCCTTTCCATTGATTACACAGGGGGTTTTAGGTGCTTACCTCCTGACTTAGATGCCTTTGCTAACTTAGGAGGGATGAATGCAAGCTGAAAAGTCCAAGACAAAACATTCTCCCTACTGAGCTGAGTTTCTTCTTTCAGGACACCGTTGTTGTTAATGATCGTTGGTGTAATAACTGCTCTTGCCATCATGGAGGCTACTACAATTGTGCTGACAAATACAAGCCAGGGACCCTGCCAGCTCACAAGTGGGAGATGTGCTCCTCCATTGACAAGCTTTCCTGGGGCTATCGAAGCAACATGAACATTGCCGAGTTAATGGATGAAGCAAGTATCATTGAGGTAAGAAATCTGAAATCAAAATAACAGGTGTGGGGGAGTTACTGACATTTAGAGCTTTCCTTCATCATCCTACTTGCAGAAAGAGTTGTCATGTGTTTCATACAATCAGGCTGGAGTTTTAAAGGAGCAGCTGATGAGGACAAAGCCCTCCTCAGGTTTCTTTGTTGTCAGAGGTGAAGATAATGCAATTCATTACCACGGTTTATCTGTCACAGGAGCTAGTACAGACTGTGAGTTTTGGAGGCAACTACCTTCTTAATGTGGGACCTACAAAAGAAGGGGTGATTGTTCCCATCTTCCAAGAAAGACTTCTGGCCCTTGGGAGGTGGCTGGACACTAACGGGGAGGCAATTTATGAATCAAAGCCATGGAGAGTACAGATGGAGAACAGCACAGACACGGTCTGGTAAGGACTCCGTTGCTCAGACCATCTGGGCCGGGAGTTCCAGAGCTGATGTTTCTTTCTTATTTGTTCTTAAATTTGGTACATTCTGAAGTGTTGCCATCAGGTGCAGATGGTGTTTAGGTAATATCCTACAATTGGAGTGCTCAGTTACTGCGCTAGGGTGTTACCTGAGGAATATCTTGCTTGAAAGAAGAGAATAACAATCAGGACTTCATCTATCTTGCGTGATTTGAAAAATAAACAACTCTTCCTTTAAAAAAATTTGCAAGCTGCTGCTGTCAGGACTGTTTAAGCTGTGGTCCTGGCTAGTTTGAATGTCACAAATGTCATTCATCTAAACACATACAGTTTGTAAATGTAGCGATATTTGCTTTTAAGCTGTTATATGATAGTAATAGTACTAACAGTACCCAACTGTTAGATTTATACTGACTGAGAAAGGCATAGTGAGTCAAGAGCCAGAAATTGCTACAAAATGGAATTATTCTTTTTCCTCAAGTGTGTCCAAGTCTAGAAATGCAGAGCAATTACCAGGATAAGGCAGCGTATCCGCTCCGTTGACCACAAGCTGAGGCAAGGACAGATTGGCAAATGACATTTGCTTTTAGGAAGCACGCACAGACTTTGTTTGGGTTTCATCAGCCAGTGCTGACTGGCTAAATGGTGGGTCCAAAGTGACAGATTTTGGAATGAGGGGAGAGTAGGTGACCCCTGTGTGGTGACAGTGGGCAAGCTGGTGTTGTCGTGCTGTCTGGACAGGTCAAGCTCGTGTCTGGTTCTCTCTGTTATGGGACTCCTCACCTTGCTGAACTCTTTCTCTCTTAGGTACACTTCTAAGGGACCAGTTGTCTATGCCATCTTTCTGATCTGGCCTCAGGGCAATGTTTTGGAGCTATCCTCACCCACTCCATCCCCAGCGACACAAGTAAGGAACTTGGAAAAAAGATAACACACTCAGAGCCCATCTTGGGCACATGTGGGCTGGGAAGGTCCAACCTGACTTCATTTGGAAACTGGGGAGAGTGTGGAAGTTGTCATCCCATACTTCTTGTTCTGGGGTGCTCTGGCCTCCCTCCAGATCCTTGCAGCATCCCAGGTTATTCTCCAGGCTTTAGCTCACTGTTGACACAGAACATTGGAGGGGACTTGCCAGGACAGGCTCATAGTCTGCCATAGAATAGGCAGAGACACTTCTCCCCCAGAGTCTTTTGATCCTATTGACACAGGGAGGTGAAGTAAATAACAAGCCTCACACATAGAAGGGATCACTGGTATTGCATCTCAAATTCAAATCAGGTACACTACCCCTGTAATTGTAAGTGACGCAAATGCTAGAGTGCCCTTTGCTCTAAACAAACAGAGGTAAAGCCTTCTCAGTAAAAAAAAAAAACCACACATAACGAACTACAGTCAAAGGTTTGGCCCCAAAATATCCCATGTATTATCTTTTGTGCACTGTGAGTGATGGGTGGAAATGTGCAGGACTGCTTTGAGTGTGTGGGAAGTGCTGTACAGAGACTGCAAACATGTTTTGGGTGTACTGGGGTGTTCAAATGAGAAGTACCTGTGTGAGCTACAACTGAGTGTTTCCCCTGCCCTCCTCTGCAGGTGTCGATGTTGGGTTTTGCAGGGACTCTGAAGTGGCAGAAGTCCCCAGGTAAAGGACTGGTCATAACTTTGCCCTACATGCTTCCATCTCCTCTACCTCCTCAGTCTGGCTGGACTGTCAAGCTTGAGGGTGTGAAGTGACGTCTGCAGGGGGAAAGCAGCAATTTCCCTCTGCCTTTCTTTTAAATTGAGTCTTAAGAAGATTTTTCATTTATTGTTGAATAAATAGTTTTTCTCTTAAGAGAATCTCACTTCTAATCCCTTTTGCCTGTAAGCGATCTGTAAGATCAGTGGACCTTGTTTGGCAGCAAAGGACTGACCTCTCTGCTCAGCAGTGGGAAGCTGGGACATCCTTTGCAGTATTCTGCTGGGATGTGACAGCCCATCAGCCAAACATCTACACTTGGAACAAGAAGGTTTTTTGATATAAAGCTGGGCTTCTTGGCCGATGTTACTGCTTTGCTGCTGTGATTACAGGTGATGATGTTGGACAGACTCAGAGTTGGTGGGAGACTGAACAGAGTTAGTACGGGGCAGTTAAGAGGACCTGCTTTGGGGTGTCAGGCCAGGCCACGCGGCACCTAGGTATTAGTGCATGAAGCTGCCTAGAGGATGCATGTCTGCCAAGGAGGAGATGGACGTGTTAATGGTGAGAGGATTTGGACTGGTAGAGCAGCTCAGAGGACGTGGAGCAGTGGGAACTGTGTCCGTGTTCACGTGCGTGTCGCCAGCACTGGTAAGCCAGGCTACGCACGGCAGCAGGGTCCATACCTCCCAGGCAGTAGCAGGTCTTGCCACTTCCCTGGCTTAATTACTCATCAAAATTAATTTTGATAACCAGTGTGATACTCTTATATGAGGAATCATGAAGCTTTGCATGTGGTGGGCATGTTCTAATGAAGACCAACCACAGTGCCATCGCAGATTGCTGCGTATGATGTACTTGCATAAAAATAGTTCCTCGATAAGATGCATTGTATTGCTTCGGTATTGATTGAAACAGTTATGATCACATACTTCCATCACGAATAAATATAATGGAAGCTTGTTGTTTGAAGAGGTCTAGAAGAAATCAGCTATAGAAAATAATATTACAAATCCATTAACAAACTTTTATTTGTGTTCTGGTGGAGACAGCTATAAGCAGGAGAGTTTTTGTTCTTACGTGAATTTAACAGAGGACCCACAGTTCTGAACTGGACCTCTGACTTCTGCTGTTTCAGTGAAATAAGATTTCCTGTGTTGATGTTGAACTCCTCTATAAAGGGTTGAACGATACGTACTTAAATGATGGAACTGCGCATAACAGTGTGTATTTCTGCAGCACAGTTGTTGTGAAGGCCCCACAACGTTGCGTACAGGCTTTATTTTGTCACTGTGCAATGTGGTGCAAGCAAAATTTGCCAGAACGCTTAGAGTTTAGCACAGGCTAAGCCCCAGGGCTGGGACACGTGCTGAGCTGGTGGTGTAGGAGCTGTTACTCAACGGACAAATAACGATCTGTACTGACGAACCTGTGTGGACTTTGGAGAACTGGCACTGACTGCCAGAGACCCACTTACTCAAAGGAGCAGCACCCCTGGCTTCGGTGACGACGACGCTGTTACGAACACAGAGGGGGAGAAAAAAAAAAAGGGACAACGGAGCAATGGCCTTTTTGTCTCCCAACCCCATCACGCTGGTAACCTCTGGTGCGTGGAGGGGTCCCATCCAAAACAAACACGCCGTGTTTATTTAGCGCCACGAGCCAGCCGAAAAGCCATCCTATAAGTAGGCGGCCCCCGGAGCGACCGGGCAGTGCCGGTGTCGGAGGGAAACATGCCACAGTGCGCTACGGGATCGCTGTCGCGGGACGGCCCGCGGGGACAGGTACGGGTCGGGGTCTCTCTCTCGTAACCCCGACGGCGGCTCGGGAGCGGGCAGTGAGGGCATTTCACAGCCGGAGGGGACGGGGCCGGGGCTCCGCTGCCCCAGCTCCGGCTCCGGCTCCGAGCGTGGGGCGATCCCGGCTCCACGTGGAGATGGCGGTAGA